ATTTTAACCACGCTACTGAACGGATTTAGACAAGATTTTTTATGTATATAATAAACGAAGTACATGATGACATATGATGTCTTTCTCCAAATACGTAAATGTACATATGCATACATTCAGCGCGTGGCCGGCTAGTATAATATATATATATAAAAATGAAATGTCTTACGTATGACGGCGATGCCTGACCAAACGGTTGAACCGATTTCAATTCTGTAAAAAGCATATTTTTGGACCTTCTGTGTGGAAGGTTCTTTGATTTAAAAANACTTTTTGTTGTTGTTCTTAAAAAATTAAGAAAGCTGAGACGTCACGATTTAACAATTTCATAGAGTTTTCCGTATATTGAATGTCACTAAACTACTAAACGGCTGGACCGATTTCGTTCATATTTGGAACATATTTCAGCACCTTGAAGAGAAATAGTTCCACTAAAAATTTAATCGCTGGGTGGCGCTGGGCTCGGGATATTCATAAAAATTGCATTTACTTGCTCATTTGGCTCAGATTTAGAACATACGTTAGCCAATTGAAAATAAATATTGGGACTAAAAATGTACACGATAGGTGGCATTGTGGACGAGATATTCCTAAAATTCTTATACACTGGGATAACGATAGATATCTGCTATGTATTTGAAGAAGTATGTATGTATGTATGTATGTGCCAGGTTGCAGCCTAAACGGATGGACAGAATCATATGAAATTTTGCCAGAGTATTGCCATGACACCTGGGCATATAACACGAAGAAAAAAATTGGGATTCGACAAGGGGGCGTGGCACCTACCGTAGGCGTGAAATTATTTATCAGCTATAACTTCGGAACCATAATTCACATGAACTTGAAGTTTGGTATGCAGACATATCTACGGTGGCTGTATGTACATACAACGAGTTTGTTAAAAAGGGGCGAGGCATATGCCATTGGCGTGGACCTTTTTATCAGCTATAACTTCGGAAACATAAGTCCCAAGAACTTGAAATTTGGTATGCAGGTATATCTATGGTGAGCACTTATAGTAAGGTAGTATACAAATGAGTTTATAAAAGGGGGCACGGCACATCCCATATGCGTGGAATATTTTACCAAGTATAACTTCAAAACCATAAGCCACATGAAGTTGAAATTTGGTACACAGACGTATCTATGATAAGTGCGTATAGTAAGGTATATATAAATGAGTTTGGAAATGGGGGCGTGGCTCATCCTATAGACGTGGATTTTTTTATCAGCTATAACTTCGGAACCATAAGTCATATGAACTTTAAATTTTGTATGCGGGCATATCTATGGTAAGCGCTTATAGTAAGGTATATATAAATGAGTTTATAAAAGGGGGCACTGCACATCCAATAGGCGTGGAATATTTTACTAAGTATAACTTCAAAACCATAAGTCACATGAAGTAGAAATTTGGTACACAAACGTACATATGGTAAGTGCTTATAGTAAGGTATATATAAATGAGTTTGAAAATGGGGGCGTGGCTCATCCCATAGGCGTGGATATTTTTATCAGCTATAAGTTCGCAACCATAAGTCACATGAACTTGAAATTTGGTATGCGGGCATATCTATGGTAAGTGCTTATAGTAAGGTATATATAAATGAGTTTGCAAATGGGGGCGTGCCTCATCCCATAGGCGTGGATTATTTTATCAGCTATAACTTCGGAACTATAAGTCACATGAACTTTAAATTTGGTATGCAGGCATAGCTACGGTAGGTGCTTAGAGTAGGCTATAAATAAATGAGTGACACATCCCATAGGCGGGAAATTTTTTATCAGACCTAACTTGGGAGCCATTTGGTATGCAGGCAGGTGCTAATGGTAAGGTGTATAGGAATGAGTTTGTAAAAAGGGGCGTGGCACATCCCGTAGGCGTGGAATTTTTTATCAGCTATAACTTGGGAACCATAAGCCCCACGAACTTGAAATTTGGTATGCTGGCACAGCTATGGTAGGTGCTTATAGTAAGGTGTATATGAATGAGTTTGTAAAAGGGGGCGTGATACATCCCGTAGGCGTGGAATTTTTTATCAGCTGTAACTTGGGAACCATAAGCCCCACGAACTTGAAATTTGGTATGCAGGCACAGCTATGGTAGGTGCTTATAGTAAGGTATATATAAATGGGTGCGTGTCACATTCCATAAGCGTGGAATTTTTTCCCAGCCGTAAATTTAGACCATTTTGGAATGGAAAGGTTAAATCATTTTATTGCTCCCGCGATGCTGTTAAACGAAACATGTTCATGTATAATGGATAAAACTACTTCTGAAATAAGCATTCTAGCGGAAAAGTGCAGCTATACTAAAACAGCTAAGCGAATAGGAAGCTATACGGAATGTACCATAGTAGACTAATTTTAGTTTAAAAATTCTATCGTTACCTTATTCCAGCTAATATTAATAATGGAACAAGATGTTTAGTACAGAAAGTGATGATCAATATATGTATATTAGTTGAAGTACGATAAAGATATTTATATGAAGTTAAGGCCAATTGTATGCTCTAGCCTACCGAAAATTTGGTTTTCAACATTAAGCCAAGATTTTGAGGGTCAATTAAAAATTCTGAATATGCTATTTTAATCTACATAGCACTCGACTAGGGTCACCACTTGTTCAAACCTTAAAAAGTTCACTAAAATTTTTCTAATTTCGCTTTGATCACGTTGATTTTAAATATTCTTTTTTGTTTGTTTTCTTCCATAGAAAAAAAGTCCAGCATACATACTTTGTATGGAAGAAAATCCGTGAAAAAATGCTAAAAATCAACTTAAAACTTAAAAAATTTTCCTAGAAATGCTTATTAAACAGTTTTCAATTTAGATGAAACTGTGTAGAATATTATAAAATTTGCACAATGTTTGAAAATTGGGTTTATATAGTTAAAAAAATAAACATTAAATAAAGAAAATAAAAATTTCAATAGTGTTATTGAGCTTTGTACCACGCGTCATCGTAAAGGTTAAAATTTTAAAGGCGTGTTTATCGGGTTTTCGGTTTTTTGAGTTATGACAGTATTGAAGTAAATGAGCTTTATGTTCATTTTCATCATGATTCAATAATAAAAGGTTTGCTCAAAAAACAGTTTTCCCGCTCCCTCTTGACAAAATCGGCTCTCTTAGCAAGGCACTGTGTGTGGGTTCGTGTGTGTGTTCAAAGCTTTTGTAACTCTTGCTTTTGTAAGGGAGCTAATGGTCTGATTATGCATACTTCACATAACTTCGCACAACTTCGCATAAACTTCAAACTGTATTTTCGTATGTACTTTGTATCTAATTTGTATGTATTCCATTACCCAGAAATTAGCAGAACTTTTAAAAACTTAGCGATCTGTTGAGTTTAGATTTCACTTCACATTTTCTTAAGTTACATTTTTATTGGACTGGTACAAATGGTTGTGCGAAGTTATGCGAAGTATGCGTAATCAGACCCTAAGGGAGTGTCAAAACTCTAATGCCACTAATGAGCAAACCTTTAATTATTGAATCATGCATTTAATAACATTCAAACGTTCGCCACAATATTTATTGGGTAATTAAAAAAAATGTACTTAAGAAAGTTCTTAGCTCGTCGATATTTTTCGGCATTCGCGATATTTACTCAGTACTTGTGAAAAAGTATCTAGTTCTCGATACTACTCAGTACTCATGAAAAGTACCGATATTCTGTACTCGGTACTCGTATCGTTCTATCACTACCCATTGTGCAACGCAGCGCAAAGTAGAATATGCATTTACTGAAAAATATGCTAAAATATGCTCTAAGAAATATAACTCCAACTTTATATTTTTTGGGAAAACGCTTAAGCATTTCATCAGCGCGTTGCTAACATGCCTGACAAAAAACATGCCCGAACATATTTTGGGTTGCCCTAGTTGTAACATTTTTAATGAAAACAATTTTTTTTACCTATTATTTACATGGAAAATTTCAAATGCCACCGACACTTTTCCAAATGAGAAAATTTTATTCTAATAAATAGATCCTTTTAAGGAATAAATTCATTAGGTTAGTTATTTTGAATCACCCTAATGTACACATCGTCGATGTTTTTGTAAAACCGCCTATCCTACGGCACAAAATTTTACAGGAGAGCAAAAAAACGGGTTTTCTTTGAATGCATTACCTTGTTAGGCATCCTTTTCTCGAGCTATTATTTTAAAAATATGTTGTTTTAATAACGATTTTACAATTTTTATGCATAAAACTCGATGCCTGAAGTTCAAGGTTACCAAATCCCATTTTTGCTACAACGGCGATTAAGGCAGTTCTGCAACTGATCGATGGGCGGTCTTGCAAAAACATCGACGATATATATAATACGTACTTTAATACAAGCGCAGTTAATAATTTTGCAATGAATGTTACTCACTTTACAATATTCGGATGGTCTGAAGCATTTAGGTGTTTCAATAACGCGATCTCACGAAGCGTTGACATTGGAACTCCGTTGTCTGTAATGGGTATGCGAACTTTTTTGATCGCAACAATCTTGCCAGATTGGTTATCTCGTGCACGATATACAGTACCGTAAGCACCTGCGACATTCGTGTTCAAATATTAAATTAAGATAATTTTTGACGACCCATTTGTTGAATTGGATGCAATTGACGAAAACCACCAAAAACATGAAAAAAGAATAAAAGTAAATTATAAGAGCAGAAATCAAATTACGAAAATACATATAAAAATATCTCAAAGCTTTTATGTAAACAAAGTGTATAGCCCCTTTTCCGGCTTTAGATTTATAGTTGATTTCCATCAAGCCATAACTGCAGTTTACGCCGTTTGATAAACGGAGATTACAACTCGAAGGGGGTAATTCCACCTATTAAGTAGAAGCAAACGAAAAGAAAAAAGCAAACCTTAAGAAAAAACCCTTGCCGATCACCCCATGTTGGAATTATTTGAACTTCTCTGAGCTCTAACTACAGTTAACCCATTGGTGGAAATAGGCTATTAGCGAGAATTTTTCAAATTAATTTGATTTTTTTTTTAACAAAAAGTAAAATTTCCGAATTCAATGCCAATACTTATGTATGCATGTATTGTTGTTTTATATGGGAAAAACAACTTTTCGTAGAAATGGTAAAGAATTCTTGAGAATTAATATTTTTAGATCGGAAAGTTTTATTTCTCTTCTATTATAAGCTACTATTCCATACGAAGACAGACCTGTTCAAAAAATCTATTAGGGGCCCAAAGAACGATTTCGTTCTAATTTAATACATTGCACATACATACATATCTGTGTTCGTAAGGAATAGTAGCAGCTTATGTCGAAAGGCTGGCTTTAGTATAATGCGGCATTCGCAGCATACGATTGCGAATGACTCACAGGCGCCGAGCCGTTGAAGAATTTTTGGCAAATAAACGTGCAAGAAGTAGTTCCGATACTAGCAAGTCAATATTCTTATTAAGTCTCATCAAAAAAATCCTTGTCGTTTAAAGAATAAAGGTGATGCCGCGTTATACTAAAGCCAGCTTCCCGACATAAGCTACTATTCCATACGAAGACAGACTTGTTCAAAAAATCTATTAGGGGCCGCAAAGAACGATTTCGTTCTAATTTAATACATTGCACACTAGGGTGGTCCAAAAACAGTAAAGTCGGAATTGTAATGTTCTCCCTCCTAGGATTGTTCTATATCGAAAAAGTATACCCCTATTTTTTTATTTTGATATAAAAAAATATTTAAAGGACGCTCAAAGCGCTCCAAGTTTTTCACACGACGGCGAGTTTCAGGGGCCTGCCAATTCACTATTTGACTTTGAAGGAAAGAAAAGCAGTGGAAACTGAATATTTAAATCTTTTAATTTTCCCATGGAATAAATTTTCTCAGAACCATTCCATCCGTCTCTGAATAAGTTTGGATAATTGCTTACGGAGTGGAAACTGCAACAGGCAATAAAATGTTTGGAAATATACATATGTAAATCTATATATTAATACGCTAACATGAATTTTGTCTCCGTTCGTTTGGTGATTCTACCGAACCGATTTCCAAACCAAGAACACCATTGGAAAGGAATTTTTCTGTAGATAAGCACCATAAGTTTTTATGGTTTCAAAATTGGTTGAAAATTACGGCCTAAACCGTCGCTCAAACATTTCCGTATTTGTGTATAGATGTTGCTGCAACATGTTCAATTTGACATGTTTCGCATGTTGTTTCACTAAAGATAAATATGAAGATGAAGATATAAATGATAACGATGAAGTCAGAAAAAGAAGGCAAAAGTGAAGATAAAGACGAAAATGGAGACGATCACAGACAAATAAGAACTAGGGTAACTGAAAGGGTAAGAAAATTTCTTGACTTTTTGAAGTGGAACTTCTATAGCGGCAGTTGGTTGGTTGGGAGTAAATTGTCAAATTCAAGGGGAATAATGCATATGGAAAAACGAAGATCAAGGTAAATTTAAACACTTTAAGGTAAAGGTGAAGAGGAATATGCAAAAATAAAGATAAATATGAAGAAAAGGATGAGGATGAAGATCGATATTGTTATCGATATAAAACTCGATATTTTTATCGATATAATACTCGATATTGTAATCGATAAAATAATATATAACAATGATACTGTTATTGATTAAATAACCGCTATTGTTATCGATACAATAATTTATATTGGTATAGATATGTATAATAATCGATACTGATGACTGTAATATTTATCGATGAATTAATCGATTTTGCAATCGGTATATTTTTCTATATGTTTATGGATATTGTTATCGGTATTTTTATCGACACAGTTATCGACACGGTTTTCGATATAATAATCAGAACATAATATGTGATCACATTAAATGACATCACATCACACTATATTACATGGCACAAAGAGACATCACATGATATTACATCCGCACCTCATCTCATCTACGTGAATAGATAAAGAAAAGGATAAAAACAAAGATATGAAAGATAAAAACAAAGATAAAGACCAAGGTAAATTTACCGATTTCAAAACCAAAACCACCGTTGGAAAGGTTGGAAAGGTAATTCTCTGTATATGAGAGAGTTTAATAGTTTCGAAATTGGTTGAAAATCGTCGTTTAAAAATTTCCATATTTTTGCAAACTGTTAATTTAAGCTATTTCGAATTTTGTTTTACTTCGTATTTGGAATTAAACTTTGAAATAAAAACAAATATGAAGATGAAGAAACAAGTGATAACGATGAAGACAAAAAAGAAGGCAAAAGTGAAGATAAAGGCGAAAATGGAGACAATGAGAAATACATAAGAATTAGGGTACTTAACTGAATTGCAATTTTCCGATAGGAATCGAAATAAAATCAACCATAAAGGTTACCGAAATTTATCGAATCATCGAAGTTTGTAATTATCGAAATTTATCCATGCTTATTAAGTTATCGCAACGTATCGAATTATTCAAATTGATCAATGTTTATTGAGTTGTCGACAGTTTATAGACACAGAAACTTAGTTGTCGAAATTTACGGATAGTTATCGAGCTATAAAAACGTGTGGGATTATCGAAATTTGTCAAGTTAAAGAAATATATCAAGTTATCGATATTTATTGAATTATCATTATTTATAGATTTGACGAAATTTATCGAGTTGTAATGCATGGAGTTCTTTCAACTTACAAAGTTATCGATAATTATTGATCTACTGAAATTGGTTGATTCATCGAATCGAAGTTTTGGAATTTTCAAAATATATCGATTTATCGAAATTTCAAGGTTATATAAGCTTATGGATTTATCACTGCTTATCGAATTTTATCGTGTTAACAGAGTGTAGCGAGTTATCAAAATTTTTTGATAGTTTTCGAAAAATGTGGAGCTGTCAAAAGCAAAAATTTATAAAGGTATCCAAAGAATTTACATTTTTGAGTTATAGAAATTTATCGAGCCCTTGAATTTCACAGTTATCGAAATTGGTCGAGTTAACGAATTTTGTTGAGTTACCGAATTTTAGTGTTTTCGAAATTCATCGAACTATCGATATGTATAAAATCATTGAAATTTATCGATAAACTGGAATGTATCGAGTCAATTCCAAGTCCTGCCGAATTCCAAAAACCTTCTACGATAAAAAAAGTTTTAGTTACGTTTTTGTTCCAAAACAGAAGATTTTCCGGTAAGTTAATTTGTACTGTAGAAGTTTTGCTACGTGTTAAGTTAGAAAACCTCTCCAGGGCTCCTAAACACTAGAAAAACTATCGAATTTTGACAGTAACTGGCACTCTAGTTCATATTATTATTCTTGCCGCACTCACATGCTTTGTTGAGCGCGTTTTATATGAAGGCTAATAGTTTCTGCTGCAAAACGTTTCCAATATCAAACAGTATGTTATCAAGGTTGAATAGCTCAATATATGACAACAACAGAAATTTAAATGATTCAGACACTATAGGTCATTTTGAAGAAATTGTGGAAATAGCTCTCGCCTTATTAAGTATAGGTTTTTATTTAATTTTTAGCGCCGAGCTCTTAAAAGCGGATTGTGCGATTAATCAATTGATATGAGTTATAATAAATTTAATAATTACGCAGTCCTATTGCAAAATGTGTTGAAACCAATACTTTTAAAAAGCATGCATATTTTTAAAGAAATTTGTTTCTACATCACTATTAAATAAGTGATTTGCGTTATTTATTAGTACCCTCTGAAGGTAATATATTCCTTTTTGGTTTTAAAAACTATATTATAACAAGATCTCATTTTTAAAATAAAAGATTGTTAAATCAATTTCATAAATTTTATTAAAAAAAAAGGGCGATCAGAACTAATTCTGCGCGTTTATTTGCCAAAAATCCTTCAACGGTTCGGCGCTAGTGAGTCATTCGCAATCTTATGCTGTTAAAGCCAGCCTTTCGAAATAAGCTACGTTCCGTACGAACACTGAAGTAATTGTGAAAACTAGAACCGCTCCGTTTTATTTTAGATCAATCTATTTTTTCTTATCTACATGCAACTTTGGATACATGATATGTAAGTATATCACTTTTAATAAATGCTATTTTAATTCAAGAAGATAATCCCTAGCTTAAATTGAAAAGTGGCCAAATTACGTTCTTTAAATTACAAGGCATTTATATGAACAGAGTTAAACTACAGTTCAAATCAGGGCCAGGGTTTCCAACTTTTCTAATCTTGAAACCGGGACGCACAAGAAGTCTGTTCTTTTGCTCGCCCGCAGGTGTCCGTAAGTGCCCAATTTTTATTTCTTTGGTTGGTTCTCGGGCTGTTGAGATCCACTTTGAGCTTTTTGCTTCTCACTAGCCCGAAGTCGGCCGGACTATTTTTCCGAGCGAGTTTGTAAAAAACTGTCGAACTTCCAGAGGAAGAGGAACAATTTGTGCATATTTAGTTGTTTTTATTTGATTGATAAGTGAAAAAATATCAAGTGAACCATTAGTTAACGTTATCGTGTTCGCTGCCGCTAAATTCTTAAATTTTGTAATTTGGTGCGATTTGACGTATACAGCCCTTCCGTACCAGTCGAAGCAATGACAACGTCACCCTTATGCGGTGGTGAGTTTTCGTTAACACGA